AGGGAAAGATTATTTTCTCTGTAAATCTCCTTTTGTCTTCGATTCTAGCTGCAGGGAAGCTCCTTCCTGTATTCTTTCCCCTCCCTCTTTGTTTGCTTTCGGCAATCATGTTCAGTGACCTCAGACTTCTGCCTCTTTTAATCTGCCCACCCACATGGTTTGGGAGCAGTTTCAGGAAAAACGGTGTGCTTTGACCATGGCAATTTGCCCTTTCTTCTTTCATATGTTTCCAGGGAGGGGTGAAGAGGGAAGCTCCTCTCAGGACCAGTTACCTGGAGGACTTGCCAAAGTTGTCTTTTTTTTTTTTCTTATTTTTACTGTCTGGACAGATCTCTGAAGTGCAATGATGTCCTGTTAGTGTCTCTGCCTCTGAGCGGTTTCATCTAAGGTAGCGTGGACCAGTAGTTAGTGACAGGCTGGGGAAGCAGAACAATGTCCTTGTGCTTGTCTGAGAATCTCTGGGGGACCAAATATATTTAATGGTAATAGACAGAATCTAGGGGAATTTAATAGGGTAGTGGGCAGAGGGTGGGGATAAGGGGAGGGAAATCCTTCTTTTATTGACATGTCCAAGCCTCTTGCACCTGCTCTGTAACCAGGGGTTGGGATTAGTTATTGTGCACCATTGACTAAGAGTATATTAAAAACCCTTTAATCTGCACAGATATATGTAAGGCCTTTGTATCTCTCGTAATAAGTAATTAAGAAAAAAATAAAGGTCTTTATCACTGCCTTTCTATTGGGACCATGGTTATATATAGATAGTCTTTACTTTTCTACACCGTACACTGGTTGCTGGATTTACCTGTATTCTTAACCATATTGTATATGCTGCATTTAGACCTACTTATGAGCGAAGTAAAAATAATTAAATATGAAGCGCCATACTGTATGCCTGAAGCGCTCTAAATGCAGGAGCCTCGTGTCCCAATTGCTGTCACAAAAAAATTTAATTTTTTTTTATATAATAAAAGTGCCTTAGCATGTGCCTCAGCTGTGTGTCACCACTACAGTCAGTAATGGTTTACTGGTGCTCCACTGATGTTACCAATAAAGATTATCCATGTGCTGCAGTCTCTGTGCGTGTGTTGCCGTTCCCTCCTTCCCTAGGTGCAGTGAAGACCATATGCGTCGCCTCCAGAGGTAGCGGCTGTGGTGTCAGAGCATCGGCCTGTCCTGTCAGCAGCGCTGCAGACCTCCCCTGACGCCGAGTGACTCTCCGTAGCTGAAATCAGGTGTTACAGTACCCTCGGTGTGTGACTGGGGCAGCTGGCAGCGGCCAACACTGGGGGTTTCGGAGGAAGATAATGCGCCTTGTTTGTGTGCTTTCAGAGAGTTACCTATTCAAAACACGAGGCTGTGAATTTGAGCCAAACTAGTTCTGTTCTTGGCCTGAAGATGGTATTTCTGAGTTGGTAACTAACAGCTGTGCAAACAAACTCTCTTCTTCACTTTTCTTTCCAGTCTCTGGAGTCACTGGAAAGTGAGGTTAGCGGAGGAGGTGATAGATGTCTAGAAGTCTGTTTTATCAATGGATTATCAAAATTGCCTTTCACTCATCTTCCAGCTTGTCCCCAGAAAATCTACTTTTTGTTGCATTTTTGCTAGAAATTGATTAAGGAACTTGTGGCTCTATTCATCTTCTGATCCGTGGCCCCTCAAACTGCCCCAGGTGCTGATGTATTCTGGTGCTACAGCCATGGCATAAAAAGCCAGAGCGTGACACCAGCACCTGATAATTGTAACCTGGTCCCTTTCATCCTGTGTTGGCAGAGTTTTAAACCTTGATGAGAAAGTCTGAGTTAGAAGTTGCAGCTGAGGCTGGGTCAGACCCTGGGTGGAAGCGATGGGGAAGGAAGTGCTGGTGTTCACCACGAGGGGTACGGTGCAGCCGGCAAGTGCTGCTGCCAAGGCCAGTGCTGGCAAACAAGGAGCAGGGAGGGTGCAGCTTACAGTGAACTCAGGGGAGCACGCGTGTCTACCGCTCCCAAAGGGTGGAATTTCTGTCTAAGCAAATATTGAGAGGGGAAAAAGTGTTCTCATTCAGAAATTTAACTGTAGGTAGAAGGAGGAAAAAAAAAAAAAGGTGGGGGGCTATGCAGAAGGAGGAGGCATGAAGATTCACCATGCCCTGCTGTGCGTGTGGGTGTAGACACATTAAGGGGTCAGTGTGAGCGTGAACAACTTCTGATGTTATGTTACACCGGCTGCAGCTTTTACAAGCCTGAATAGGGATTAATGTGTAAAGGGACGGAAGTGTGTTCATGGTGCGTGGAATACGGGCACGGCTGTGCTGATGTCTTGCATATACATTGTTAAAAACAGGACTGGAGTTACTCTCGTCTGGGAGTTTACAGGGTCAGATACTTCAGTCTTTTTCCAAAGTGTTTTGCAGAAACATGTAGGGTATCTTTGTGAACAGCATGCCCCTTAAATTACATTGAAATTGCTTTCCCATCATAGGATCATCTTGAACTAAGGCCAGCTGGCCAGGCACTGCTGTGATACAGAGCAGAACTGCCCAAACACCTGTGTGCCGGCGGCATGCTGACCCTTTTAAGCTCAGGCTGCTTTCTGTGCCCTCTGCATTGCTGTGTGTGAGCCGGTGTACTGCTTGGATGCTGCTCCGTCCTGCGCAAGATGGAAAGAGACTTGCATCTTTTTTTTCCACTGGCACAGTACTTTCCTTCAACTTTCCACCTCTTTGTGCACCACATGAAAGGGCAGAAATTAGTCTCCCACAACATTTTCCACTTTGCAGAGTGCAACCTTGAGCTAGCAAGTTCTTGTGGCTCCAGATTAGTTGCTGTATGAATCTGCAGAGCCGCTAAATGCCTCACACAGGTTTTCCTGAGATTTTTGGGATGGTCCGAGTAGGTGCGTGGTTACAAACGCTGTAATAACCAAGAGTGGAAAAGAGATTGAACTGGGACCTCATCTGCTGGCCCTGCGAAAGAATTGTTCCTGGAAGCCGGTGCTGGAGCTCTGTTTGTTGCCTGCGTGATCCAACCTCGGGGCTGATCCCAGCAGGCATTGGAACGGTCTGAATGAGAGGGGGCATGTGGACATAGTTTCAGAAGAGGCAAGGGATGGTGGTAAAGTTGATTTCAAACATTCCTGTCACTGCACCGGGCTGTTGTGCTGGCACAAAGGATCTGTAAACCGGATCTTCAACTATAATAAACCTGGATAAAGTAGAATAATAAATTGTGGGTTACAATGCAGTACAGCCGGGCCCTCACAGGCTGTTGTAACAGCAGAACCGAGGGGCAGAACAATCAGCCCCGTCACAGCCTCAGGGAGAAGGAGGAAAATCACTAAACCTGCTGCATCTAGTCCTGCTGCGGAGAGCCTTCCTGCACGGAGGGCAGCTGAGCGCTCAGCTTGTTCCTGCTACAGCTTCCCCCCAGGGCAAAGTGAAGACAGTGGCCATTAGAGCCAGTTCCAGCTGGGTTCCCAGGCTGCAGCAGCAGTGACCTGCCAGGTTTAGGATTTAGCCCTCTTCCATTGCCTCCCCAAACTGTCTCAAGTACCAGTTTAATGTAGATGGAGAATCACTTTGTCAACGCCCAGGGTGCACATTAAATGGCACAGGAGGAAGGGAGCTATGGTGGAAAACTGCAGCCTTCCCTGCCTGGAGGGAGACGTGGGTGAGGGAGGCCTCAGAACAGTGGTTTGAGTGTTCTGAAACAGAAATGCAGGCTGCTGCGGGCCAGCTAGAGATCAGCGAGCAACAGGCCCCGGGGCATTTAAAGCATTAATTGGCCTGTGCTGTCCAGGAGCATCCATCCGTGCGGATGCACAGCCTGGCTCATGGCACTTGGAGCGGGGACGAAGCTCTGGAGCTGGCGTGGGTCCCCCATCCTGGCTGGGTACGGGGCTGGGCTCCCTGTCCTGGAAGCCCAGCCCAGTCCTGAGAGCTGCTCAGCCTGTTCTGGAGATGCCTTGTCCCAATGCTGCTGGCAAGATCCCAGCTGCGTTGCCTTCCCTGAAGAGCCCAGATCCAAACTTCGCCAGAGGCATGTCCTTTTAAACTTTGTCTCCAAGCGCAGCTGGAGACAATATTCCCAGTTCCAGGACAGATAGCTAATACTAGGAGATAACTGTTTGCTGTCCGTCTGGACCTATTTCTTTCCTTCCTCTGATGTCAGCAGTGAGAGCAAAAGCAGAAGGAAAAGGAGAAAAAAAACCCCAAAACCCTCCAGTCCTAAATTTGTGACTCTCACGTCCTTGCTACCATTTTGAGCCAGCGTGGCTGAGCAAAACAAACAGCTGAGCAGCAGCGTAGCAAGATGAAAAGAAAAACGTGAAACGTCTTGAGCGATGATGGTCTGGCATGTCAGAGGAGTCACCTCCCTGCGGTGGGGCAGCCTCCTTCACCGAGATTGGGGAGGGCTGGCCTACGGTGCTTTCAATTCGGGTACAATGTGCAGAGAAGGGCACTTAAAAGTCGATTAGGTAAAAGTACGGTCAGTCTTTGGACTGGGCGATCACTTCATTGTGCACGAGGAGCGTTTAAGGCAGGCTGCCTTCTCTGCTCGCCTATGGCAGCTGAGGACGCATGCAGGCAGCAGAAGCCTGTGGGACACGGTGCTGCCTGGGTGCACACGTGCCCCCTGGGAGAGGTCTGCCCTGGAGGTTTCGCTATTGCTGAGCTCCCCAGCCCTGCGGAAGGATGAGGGAGGAAATGGAGTAGCTGGCCTCACAATCCATGTTACTCATAATGTTGTTGTGTGCTGCTAATTAATCTGGAATTATACTGTGAATGGCTTCATTCACTACAGCCTTAATTGACTTTTGATGGAAATTGTGTGGAACCTCGTGGAAGAGGGTGTTATGGTAGGGTGTATCACTCAGGATAAATGCATCGCTTCCTTAGGCTCCTTTTTAGGAGAGGAGCCATCACTCAAATCCCTGACCTTGTGTAAGGCCAGGC